GAGACAAGCTATGTGATACTTTGGCTGAGGTGTAAACGAATTGAGGTTGCTCAATTTCATGGAAGTCTTTGCCTTTCAGTGCTGAGAAATCGAAGATTGATGATATTAGTCAGACGTGGGATGATCTTTTCGATAATATCATCATCCTGGCTCTTTTGCGTGGCTTGTGCATACGACACGTTTGGTTGTGGAGTATGCACCACCACCTTTTTTCTTGGCCTCAATATAACTTATTTTGTCAGTAGCGATCAGTTTCTGAATATCCAATTCTGTTTTGTATCTTTTGGGCATTCCTTCGATGAAGCCACGTGAGGCCCGTGACAATTTAGGCACTGTACCGGCGATCACATGGTCTTCCCATGTGTAACTCCTTTCCACAATATGCATACCTGTTCATTTTGGCAAGACAATGACGTATGCCGTACCGTTGGCATCTAAAGCAGCGTACTGGTGGGGGAATATACTGCGAACATCAAGTTTATACATAGCGCATTTAAGGTTTCGATGGTAATCTGGGGGAGTTGAATGTGATTATGTGATTTGGTGTATCACGCAGTTCATTGTCCCTCTTGACTCTAATTCTCTGTACATGTATTACTCCTTCTGATTTCAGTTCCTCGAGAATTTCACTTCAGGGCAATTTAAGAGGTCTTTGCAGTACACGACCCCTTTGCTAGAATTTAGCGTTGGGTGGGCTTCTACTGTGACAGGAATATCTGTAAAATGCTGTATTCTTAGGAGTCTGGTGAGACTGGGCATCTGTTTTTGTTCCACCAATATGCCAGCTTTAATCTTTTTACAGAGTTAGGGTCTCCTATTATACCATTTATGGTCTTAGAAATAAGGAATGGACTAACTGTTGCAAAATTATCATTATCAACTCTCTTGATGACAAGGAACCGGGGGACGGGCCCATCCGTCTCCTTGACATTTTGTTCGGTCCAGTGGAAGCTCTACATGTAGCTCCACCTTCGCCATCGTTGCCTACATTTAGGGGGGCAGGCACACCCTTGGTTTTTGTTTTGTTTGCCATGCGAAATCCTGATCTTCACTTCCTCGGCTCCCCACCCTCCATGGAGCCTCAAACGGGAGATTGTGCTCATTATCGCCTTCCGCTAGAACACAACCCCAGGGATACCGTGAATGTCGAAACAAAGGAAGTATAGTCCCCACAGATAGCTCCACCATACATCGAGGATAGCAAACCATCCTCGTCTGGCTTCTACTACCTGTGGAGGCTCGCCCAGCCAGCCCTCTGACGGGATGGCGCAGGCCGATTGACCAACGCTGGGCTAGGCGTGGCCGCCCTTCTAGACTGACCGCCGGACCAAAGTGGCGTGTTGCCCCCCTGACTGGTAGGGCTCAACCACCAGGATTCCATTGGCCAGCTTACGGGTCGCCGGGCACGGCACAAACACCCGGGAGGCTAAGAGGAAGCTCCACACGCCGCCTCAACGCATGGGTAAGGATAGGAGAGGAAAGTCGAGGGAAAGCGAACAGCTGTACAGGATATAATAAAAGGAGAAAGAATGGGAGAAAGGGGAAGGAAAAGTCCAGGGTTTGGCAGAATTAGTAAGACTACCAACCCCGAACTCCCTGCCTGGGTCCGTGGGGGCGACGCTCCCCATGTATCTTCTCTTGAAACGGGATCAAAGATCCGGCTTCAAAAGTAGATACCCCCTGCGGGGAATATTATTATTATTATAATTATTGTATTTATTATTATTAATATTATTATAATTATATAATAATAATTATTATTATAATTTTTATAGCCGTAGGGCTTTGTTACTCCCGTTAATATCGGGGTGTTCTGGCTTAACCCGGACGCTTCAAGCATCAAAGGGGTAAGCCTCAATAGTGACCTCCCTAGGTACTTGCATTTCCCATAAATTTTCTTACTATGCGGGCAGTTGCCAGCAAAACTCCTTTCTGTATGATTTTGTAAATGTTTTCACTCAGTTCCAGCGCTTTGATGTTTTCTAGCAGCCTTCTTGGTATCACCCCCTGTAGATGACATTATTATTGGTATTGTTTCCACGTACTTCATTTTCCACTGGCGTTTAATTTGAAATTCTAGCTCCTGTATTTTGCAACTTTCTCATTATGTTTGTATGTTAAATTGTTACTATTAGGTATGGCCACATCAATCAGTGTTACTTTCTGGGCGTCCTTGTCGACAATGATTATGTCAGGTCTGTTTGTTTTATGTATTGGTCCGAAGCACAGTGCGATCCCAGTATAGTTTATACTTGTCGTTCTCGAGGACACATTGCGGTGTATATTTGTAGTACTGTAGCTTGCATTCGATCAGTTTGAATTTGTATGCCAACTCCTGGTGAATGATTTTGGCAGCTATGTCGTGGCGCTCCTTATAGTCCGTTGGAGCGAATGCTTGGCATCCACCAGTACGTGCTGTATTGTTTCGGAGTCCTGACAGCCGTACCTGCATTTAGCAGACTGTTGCAAGTCTTAAGTATGAACCTCTTGTAATTGTTGGTAGGAATGACCTGGTCCTGTATAGCTACAAGGAATCCCTCAGTCTCAGGGAACATTTGGCCTGAGGTAAGCCAATAGTTTGACGCTTTCTTGTCAACGTTTTCTTGGCTAATCTCGTTGGCATGTCTCCCATGTAGAGGTTTTTCAATCCATCGTTGTAGCTTCTGTTCGTTGGTTTGGTGACTCGGTTGGTCATCTCGTCTACTAAGGTGTAAGGGCGTTGTGTCATCTATTGAGCATATGATGCGATGCAGCTCAGAGATCTCGGCCTTCTCAAAGAAGTAGGATCGCAAGGCGAGTACCTGTTGAGCTAGCTGCTTGCTGATGTCCATTAGACCTCTTCCTCCTAACTGTCGGGGTAAGGTTGTGCGCTCTATTGCACTGCGAGGATGGTGCGCTCCTTTTTTGTTAGCATAGTCCTTACCCGCCTCTCTAGTTTCTCGATGTCAGTTTTACTCCACAGAACTATACCGAACGAGTAGTTCAAGGCAGAGCATGCGTAGGTGTTAATCGCCTTGACTAGATTCTTACTATTGAGTTCTGTTTTCAGAAGTAGCCGTATTCTTTTTGTGAAGGTCTGCGATATAGCTTCCTTCATTTTTTTATGGTCTATCCTTCGGGCCTGCGCCATTCCAAGGTACTTGTATGTGTCATTTGCGTCCATTGCGTCAATGTTTTGGCTCTGCAGCTTGAAAATCCTCCAGGGTAGATGTTCCCCCTACGTATAGATAAGGTTTTGCATTTATCCATCCCAAATCGCATACTTATGTCATCTGAGAACTGACCGACTATCTCTAGCAGCTGTTTCATTTGATTCTCAGTAGCAGCTATTACCTTTAGGTCGTCCATATACAGCAAGTGGTTCAGTTTTATGGATGCGTTCCTGTTATCTTTCAGACTATATCCATACCCTGTTGCATTTAAGAGGTTTGAGAGGGGATTTATAGCTAGGCAAAACCATAGGGGACTTAATGAATCACCCTGAAAGAGACCTCTTCGGATAGAGATCGTCTCAGTTTGAATGGTGCTGGTCCCGTTTGTATGCAGTGTTATTCTGGTTCTCCAGGTCTTCAGCATATGTTCTAATAGGGCCACTACATGCTCATCTACCTTATAGAGCCTCAGCACCCTGACAAGCCACTCATGAGGTACAGAATCGTATGCCTTCTGATAGTCGATGTACGTAATGTATAGGTTCCTTTTGTTGGTATAGGCTTGGTTACAGACGACTGAATCGATAGCCAGCTGTTCTTTGCATCCCATAGCTCCCTTAGCACAGCCTTTTTGTTGTGGCGCAATAATATCGTTTTCTTCACAATGAGCATAAATTCGCTTCGATATACAAGCAGTGACCACCTTGTATAGCGTAGGAAGGCAGGTAATTGGGCGGTATTTGCTGGGTCTTCTGTATTATTGTGATCTTTTGGTATTAATACCGTTAGCCCTTGTGTTAGGAACGTTGGAGTCTTATTTGGATTCAAAAGCATGTCATTGATATATCTTGTTAGTTGTTCATGCATGCACCAAAGCTTCTTTATCCAGTAGCCATGAATCTGGTCTGGGCCCGGGGCCTTCCATTATGCAACTGCTTAACGATATCCACGATTTCTTGTTTGGTATATGCCCTATACTGCATGGGATTGCATAATGGCTCTTCGCTTCTTCATCTGTAATCCATCCTGCACACTTGTTGTAATAAGCTGTCGAGCCAAACTGCTTGCCCCAAATTCCTCTACTTGGTCCTTTGTGGGCACCGTTTTGCTCTTTTCCTGGGTTCGGATGACAGTTTTCCTGTAGAATGGCCTTTTCGGATCGTTGAAAGAGCGCATTGTCGTGCTTTCTGTGACTGGACGCTTTATACCTTTTCAATCGCTGAGTATATACGGACAGTTTTTGCTTCAAGGTATCAAGGCATTGCCACTCGTTGATGTTAGTTGCGTCTTGGTGAGAATGATGGTGGAGTCGTTGCATTATTTCCATAGCTTGCTTTCGGACTTTTCGAGTTGTTATTCCTCGTGTGAATTGGGTAAGACGTCCGATATCTCTGCGAATTTCTGCCGTTCTTCTTTCCAGACGTTTTTTCCCATTTTGGTGTTATTGGTTTACTGAATTTTCAGTAATCTTTTGAGTTGGCATTTTGACACCAAGTGTTCTTACTGTTGCAACAGCTCTGCACAGTATATCAGTGTGTGAAGTTGTTCTATACAGTTGGAGTGTGCTAGATACTCTGGCAGGATCTGTTTATTTAACTGACACATACCACAGCAAGCTTTCTAGATGACTTCAACTTTGGTAATAGTGGTCTTTCTAGCGGGGTTCGTTCATCAAATTCGGCATATGCTCTCTACCCATTTCAGTTATTAATATACCAAATATTTCTGTGTCTTGATCATTACTGTCGTCAACTCCAGGCTGTTCACTTTCTATCTGTTCTTGCTCAGATTGACCATTATCGCGTATTTCGTTATTACTCCCTTCTTGTTGCATAAGATCAAGCTGCACTTCCTGTTTGATGGCATTCAGCCGTGGTTGTGGGATAAGATTATTTTTGATTATCACTCGATATTGGTCTGCCACTCTCTGCTGAGATACTTTGATCTCCGGATATTCACTACAGAAAGCGGTATGAAGTCGTGGTCTGTAGCCGATTGTTTCTCTACCTAGGTTGGTAACTTTGTAGAAGATTCGCATGATTGACTCATTCATGGACACACCGTCCACTTTATACGTCTTCTAGGGAGACCTGCTTGAGTGAGCACTGGCTGAGATTCCTGTGCAGCACTTTCGGCAGCGGTGGGTGGCACTAGTTGTTGTTTGGCTACCACTTTGTTGGGGGCTGTTGCTTCTTGGACGACAGGGGCCCGCCTCCTCAGCACCCTGCCACCGACGTCCCGCATGCTGTCATATCCAGCGCCGGCTCCAGATATGCCCTGACGATCACCCTCAGGCAGCGACCTTTTTCGAGGCTATATTCAAAATTCATCTCCATAAAGAAATTATGGGTGTGGCTCTTTTTATACGACTCCATCTAGGAGCCGATATGTACACATTCTGCACATGATATGTTTTCCTGCACCAGGAGGAAGAGACACAAAAACCCCTGGCACACACTGGAGGATCGCTGGCTGTACCGTCTATCCTTGTTGTTGCTACGGTAGCGGGTTTGACACTGCTGGCAACAGTGTCCTAACCGGCCAGACCTATTTATTATTATTATTATTATATTATTATTATTATTATTATTATTATTATTATTATTATTATAGTGAATACTCGAATTGCTTCTGTGGAACCAGCCCATGCTATGATACCGTATGAAATTGTGGAGTGGATATATGCAAAATAGTAGGTCAATAGCAAAGATCTATCGACCACAAAGCGTAGCTAACTGATGCAGTACAGGAATGGAGCGATCTTTTTGCATGCATAATCAATGTGAGCATTCCACTTTATGGATTCACAAAAATTTGACAAAGCCAACCTGCTGAATGGAACCACTGAGAGACTTGAGCAGCAAGCTGCAATCGAGGTTATGGTTTGTATATGAGAACTTTATAAACTCCGTCTTGCTTGCATTGAGCAGCAGCCCATTATCCAGGAACCATTGCTGTGTACGAGTACTCCGCAGTTCTTCAGTAGCACTTTCCGCAGCGATATTACAAGTTTAGATAGTAAATGATAAGAATTCTGAATAAACGTCTGCAGTGATGCATGAGAAATATACACAGTATTGTGAATAACTTTAATAAAACTCGGATAGTTCCCTGTTCCCTTGTCGCCCAGCCTCGAAGTGTATGCACAAACAGTATTTGTATATTCTAGATATGAATGCCAACCCAAAGCTGATGAAAAAGAAATAACGAAATCTGGAGATATTGTGATACTACAGCTTTTTTCACGGGTACCCCTGCTGAGGTAAAAATAATATTTCCCTATACGGGGTATTTCAAATTCGACCCTCACGATTGGGATCTCGGAAACTTTAAGGAATACGGAGTCGCTTAAATAGGGGCAAGTTGCGTATTCAGATAATCAGCAAAATGTCGCTCAGAAGTTTTGAAATTGAACGCAAAAACGAAATTTCCCAAAATTCTTCTTCTCCTGACTTTATTTGCGATAGGATTTCAAAATAAGTTGCACATCAATTAGAATGTCAATATGACGTTTCGTATCTTGTCCTCCAGCACCAACTTATTTTTTTTCTCTCTATTCGATGTTTACACACATTCTAATTTCAAAATGTATGTCATACATTGACATTGCAAAACCTTAGTTATTCCAGAAGCTCCTAGGTAGGCCTTGAATTATCAGATTTATTTGTTCGCATAGCAGAGTTTGGAAGACTATAGAGAAATCTGCTTAGTTATGTTATTATTGTTATTATCATCAATAAAATTATGAAAAAGCAAAGCTGATGATGGAAGTCGAAAGAAGAAAATGTCGAATTGAAAATTTGACTACGCCAAGAAATTCTTTTTTTTTTCGAAGTATATAGGTGAAAATTAAACTTCCGTCTTTTGTTGGTACTTCGACAAAAATTTAAGCAAGGAGGACTCTTTATACTTTTTTTTTTCTCTCTAGCTTTCAACGGACTTTGCCAGCATCATCAGGAACTGCAAATTACATTGATAACAGCAGCAACCATAGTGTAAAATGATTTAAATTAACTTACAGTAGTATGTGAGGATGTTGCTATTGTTGTTTACGTTCAGGATGAGGGAAACACCCAGTAACATGGTGAAATTTGGATACATGGTACAATGATCAAAATTATATAAAATACACACAGCTGTATGACAAGAACAAGTTAAAAACAGATTAAAAATTTTTAGAACATGACAGCATTACATCGTGAAGCCACTTGATGATTGCACAAAATGGTGGGCGTTGGTGTCGATCCTACTGAGCATAATCTCACATTAAATGCCACCCAAAACTAGCGGTAAGGCTGCC